ATTCATCCCTTTTTTCTCAATTTGCTGTTGTTCCACAAGGTAGTATCCTTGGTCTCTATCCTTTACACAGTTTATACAGCTGATATTCCAACCCATCCTAGCACTGTCATCACCACCTATGCCGATGACACATGTATCCTGTCAGTTAATAATGACCCAACCATTGCATCCCAAACTCTCCAACCACACATCACAAACCTTGAAGAATGGTGTCAAACCTGGAGGATTAAAATAAATTCCAATAAATCTCAACAAATCACCTTTAGCCTTCGTGGTAAACCTATGACTTCCTGTCCTACAGTATCCCAACTTATCCCTGTTGAACAAATCTAGGACTCCACCTGAACAAACGTCTCACTTGGAGGATTCCAAGACTGAAACTACAAGAAACTGCTCGACGTTTCCGCTTACTCCAATACTTACTAGACAAACGCTCTAAACTTTTTATTAATTACAAATGACTAATATACATGACTATAATAAGACCTATTTTGACTTACGGAGTTGAGCTATGGGGCTCCACTAAGCCATCAAATTCCTCTCGTATCCAATCATTACAATCCAAAATCCTTCGTATAATCCTCAATGCTCCCTACTTTGTCACAAATAAAATAATTCATAATGTTCCATATGATTCCGATTTGACCCAATCCAGATACCTAGCCTTCCATAATAAACTTCATAACCACCCAAATCCTCTCGTATCTAAGCTTGCTTCCTCTTCACTTCCTGATAACCCTCGGAGACATCTGAAAAGAAGATGGCCTCGTGATCTCCTTACATAGACATATTATTAGAGTGCTACCAGTGGGTAGTTTCTCAACAAGCATTTTCATGAGATTATATTCCTGTGTACACATTTACTTGATTTATTCATATTGTAATACAGTTGTAAATATCTTGTATAAATAGTTTTAAAAAAAAAAGTCGGGTCTAAACGTTGGCTTTTAATAAAATAGTTTTGCCACTATTTAGCCTATTTATGGCCGCCACCCCGAACCATCTCCTTCCTTTTAAATTTCTTAAACACTAATATTCTGACCATATACCAAAACATAAGCTTCATCGAATTTTTCTCTCTCGATAAATTGGATATTTTTCTAGTGTTCTGTTCTAATCATTAGTATACCTCTTTTTTATTCCTACTTCATTCCAACATTCATTCTTGGAATTTCTTAAAAGAATACTGCTGCCATATTTTGTAGTAATGTTTATTTTAAAATCTCATCCGGACTATAGATACACAATATCAATTCGAAGAATATTAAAAAAATAATAAATTATTACTTTATTAAACTTTTTTTTTGTTGATCATTATAATACATCAGAATACTGAGAATCAGTTCTTTTTGTTTATGTAAATAAATATATTTAAATAAAAAACGTTTTTTTTATTTCTAGAACGTCTTGAATATAGTCAACAGTTTGAAATTTATTTAAATTTGAGAATTTTAACTCTGTATTCTGTACTCATTGACAAATAAAAAAATCTAGGCATGAATTGCAACTGTATTACAACAAGATTGCAATACAAATACATTTCTCAAGGCTATACCATTCTCGTCTATAATAGTTCCCAGCAATGATTTAGTCATCTCATATCTCTTTTCACCTTGTACTACGCTTTATTTAATATTCTTTGTCCTTTCAATCATTACTTTTTTTTTTCCTCTATCCTTTGCAAAGATAATTTTATATATAATTTATAAAATATATTACTCACGACTCTAAACTATTAGAAAAAAAAAACAATCGAAGGAAAAGATGTCAATACAGTTGAACGTCGATTACCAGGATCTATGCCAACCCCACGCCCGTATATTGTAATAATTGACGTAATTATTCGAGTACATTGAGTAAAGTAACTAGGAACTATTATATACTGTGGAAATAGTGGGAAATAAACACCAAAATGCTCCTGTGACAGCATTTGCTGATGACATATCTGTCTCAAGTAGCAATATGAATGACAAAAAAGCTATAAGAAATAGCAGAAGAGCTAAAAATCTTAAACATAGATGTTAATCCTGAAAAGACGAAAGGAATTATATTTTCATATCAAAAAGGGAAAAAGAAAATGTCAAATGAATTCAAAATTAACAACAGTATTAAATTATCGATTGACTTAACATATCTCGGTATTCACTTCGACAGACATTTAAAATTTACTAGACATTTTGACAAAAAAAAATTAAAACAGTAAAAACTGAGACGTACAGACTCCAAAATTTAATAAGGACAACAAACCTATCTTTACGGCTAAAGCTTCTCACCTGTACCAGTAAATACGGCAGGCTCTGCTGAATGGAAAAGATTACAATATTTCCAAAATGGAATAATCAGAAAAATAGTTAGAGGAACCACGATGCAGAGAATGAAAACATTGAATATACAAGCAACATTAAATTTATCAACAGTAAAAGAATTTCTCGCAAAACGAAAAAAATCATTTTTCGAAAAGTCTCAACAATTGGCAAACCCTTTTTTCAACAACTTATTACCAGCCAAAATTCCAAAACGTTGGCATCAACTTACATAAGATAGGTTTTTTTAATTTAGTCGTAAGCTCTAGAGGATAAGGTCAACTCAAACCTGAAACGACAAAAAATCAAAATACGCCTTACAATGATTTTTAGCAGTAGAAGAACTATTATAAAGACGATGAAAATCCAAGGATTCAAAACAAAAATAATAATAATAATAAAATAATATAATACAAAAATAATAACATGGTACAAAACATTGGTCCTCTAGTCTAGTTTGAAAGAATACTAAGAGGTCATTTTAATGTTAATTTCAATTGTTATCGCAATCATACTTGAATAACAATAGTGGACACTTTTACACTTGCACATTTTATATAGTTTACATGTGAACAAAGAAAAAGTAAATAAATAAATTCAAATGAAACTTGTCGATCAATTGTTAGTGAGAAGTTGTAATTACAGAAATTGATAAATATTATACGGAAGTTTAAAAATGAAGTAGGTGATGGAATAAGAATTTTTTGAAGGAATTTAAGGTTGAGGATTGCCGTATGGGAATCAGTTAAGAATCCTTGAAGGATGTAGCACGAATGACGAATGAGAATTTTTTGAAGGATGTAGTTTTATGAGAAGGGATATATAAATCAATAGGTTGAGATCTGGTATTAATAGAGTGGACAGAGGAACGTAGAGTGAAGAGTTCCATGATACAGGGAGGATTTTTGGTTCTGAGGACTTGGAAAAGGAAAACACCAAGAAGGAATTGTCGTCGGGAAGTAGGATAAAGCCACTTCAACTCGGTGTACTAATAAAACACAGATCTTAAATTTTCTATTTTCCTGAGGAAAATCGGACCTGAGATTTTTAATTTAAGATTTTAATAATCTTAAGGTCGCTCCGGATCTAAGAGATTGGATGTATTTGATGTATTTTAATACCAATTGGGAAAGGAGGACCCTCTCTCCACGTTTTCTTCTGGTTCTTGGAGTTTTACAATCCAGTAGTGGGCTGATCTGTGTTCGTCCATTTTTTCTAGGAATACTAGAGGATATACGACGTACGTGGTTGTTATAAATTGCAAGAAGACTTTAAGCCGGGGAGGAAAAAAATCTGGATGATTCGTGGGACTCAACTAGGACGATTAATTCCAAGTTTAGAATCGAAATATTTCATCCCACTATGAGTGTACGAAGGTTTCAAATTTTAATTTGATTATGGATCAAATTAAAATTTGAAACCTGATTTGACGACCGACGACCGAACGACCGAAAGAAATAGACCGACTGGAACTTGTCCGGGACATATTTGAACTTTTTCAGAAACTGCCGATCTTGCTATTCAGTTGGAGCAGATGCACGGGCGGATCTAATAGGGGGAGGGAATGGGGGGGGGGATTTCAGACTGAAGCCCTCCTCCCCAAAAATGGTAAAATATAACAATGTTTTATGGAAAAAAAATTTAAAAATACCTCTTAAAGTATTATTGTTCGTGTAATTACATTTAAAAGAACTTAAGGAATCACTTAAACACATTTTCATATAGATAGTTATTTTCTTTTTTTCCAAAGTAATTATCGTAATTTTTATTTAAAAAAAAGCTTTCGGGCTGAAGCCCCCCCCCAAAAATTAAATCCTGGATCCACTAGTGGCTGATGTTCATGTTGTGATGATGTTTGTATTAATTATTTTCAAATCCAATTTAGTCCTATTATAATTGTTCCTAGTATTCAGTTATATTTGTGTTCGTATTTAATAGTATACAGAATTTAATGTTCAAGTTTCCCTGTTCAATCTTCCCCTCGTTTTTGGATGGCTTGAAGAGCACTAGCGGATCCAAGATTTAATTTTGGGGGGGCTTCAGCCTGAAAGATTTTTTTTTCATATACTTATAACGATAATTAATTTAAAAAATAAATAAAGCAATTAATTACCTCTATGAAATAGTGTTTGAGTGGTTCTTGAAGTCCTATTAAATATTATCACACGAACAAGAATACTTTAAGGGAGAGTTTTTAATATTTTTTCAGTAAAACATGGTTACATTTTACCATTTTGTGGGGGGGCTTCATCCCGAAAGCCTCCCACCCTCCCCCCGCAGATCCGCTTGTGTTGAAGAAATATCAATAGCAAAAATTTTTTTCTTTATTTTTCTATCTGCATATATGTGATAGTTTGTTCTACAATGATAATGCCTGAATTGGTGAAATATTGGGAATTAATTGTTCACTTGTATGTTGTAGATTCGTGGCTTTGTAGTTTTGATTGTTCCATTCAGAATGTCTTGAAAATTTTATTTCAAGGAAATCCAAAGATGGCAGGTCTTTGGTCCCTAATCGACTCGACTGATCCTTCACACATCCTCCCATTTCATCTCGCACAGAGAGTACACCGGAGGCTTGGCGGCCAGGGAGGGGGCGTGGCGGCCATCTTGCTCCTGAATGGGCCGAGCGGGAGGGGGCGTGTCCCGGGAGGAGGAGAGGGGTGGGGGAGCCAGCGGGGCTCAGTGCTCGCCCGGCGATGACCTCGGACGGCAAGAAGCGGCGGCGGGCAGCAGGTGCAGATTCCGCGACCGCGCCCGAGCTCTGGTGGACCGAGCGAGTGGTCAGCGAGGCTCAGGCCGAACACCCCAACGAGCTCGTCCGAACGGGCAGTCCCTACTTCATGTGCTCCATGCTCCCTCCGCACTGGAGGTCCAACAAGACCCTGCCGGTCGGCTTCAAGGTGGTAGCCCTGGGGGAGGTGATGGACGGTACGGTGGTCACAGTGAGGGCGGGCAACGACGAGAACTACTGCGCCGAACTGAGGAACTGCACGGCGGTCATGAAGAATCGAGTGGCAAAGTTCAACGATCTAAGGTTCGTCGGAAGGAGTGGCAGGGGTGAGTTACACAAATATCCTTAATATAGCAAACTAAGTTTCTTGAAGACTTAATTCAGTAAAAAATGAAGAGATCGTTGTTAGTTCACTTCAAAAAGAACGAGAGCCATCCTTCCTCTCCCCAATGTTTGAAATGGTACCTTGTTTACAAATGTAACCATGTTTTACAGAAAAAAATATTAAAATCTCTTAAAGTATTCTTGTTCGTTTAATTACATCTAATAAGACTCCAGGAACTATTTAAACACCATTTCATATAAGTAATTAATTTCTTTCTTTTTTTAAAAAATTCTTTTTATGGCTTTATAAAAAATAACTTTTTGGGGCTGAAGCCCCCCCCCCAAAAAAATTAAATCCAGGATTCGCTATTGGTTCCGAATGGTAACAGTCCTATTCGAGCATAAAAAAACAAAATCTTCAATTTTACTCTATGTTATGGTTCGCGGTACAAACCCCCATTTTATCAAATTACAATAGAGTTTCGATAGTTCGAAATATAAGGGACTACAAGAAAATTTAATTATCGTCATTTCGAGTCATCAAAAGAAATTCGAATTATTAAAACTTTTTATTTTATTTTAGAAAATATGTGTGAGCTTACATGAACTTTATGTATATATATATATAGCCTCATGTAAAAATTATTACTAGAAAAATTTCGAATTATGAAAAACGGAAGTGTTCTTGTTCGTATTATAAAACGTTCTCTCCACCTCTTGTTACAAAAAGGATTTCGAATTGTCGAGCTATCAAAATACGAACATTTTTTTTTCGATTTACCAAATTCAACAGCTGAAGAGTTCCAATGATCAATTACAGTCGAGTCTCGATAATTTAAAATCCAAGGGACTACAAGAAAATTTAAATAACGACATTTTGAGTTATCAAAAGAAATTAAGAATTATTCAGAGTTTTGATTATATTTTCAAAAATATGTATGAGCTTGTATAAATTTTATGTATATATATATATATATATATATATATATATATATATCATAAATATACATGAGGTATATAGCCTCATGTAAAAATTATTATTAGGAAAATTTCGAATTTTAAAAAGCGGAAGTGGTCTAGTTCGATTATAGAACGTTCTCTTCATCTCTTTTTACGAAAAAGATTTCATATTGTCGAGCTATCAAAATATAGCATTTTTTTTTTCGATTTACCGAAATCAACAGCTGAGGAGTTCCAATTATCAAAAATTTCGAATTATCTAGAATCGACTGTATTAACATCCGTCTAAAAGTTCTTTGAATGTCTTCATCTTACCGCAAGTTACAACTTTTTTATTTACGATAATTCTAAAAAATGTATTCTGAGTGCTCTTTTATGCTTCTGGGCATCATGCCGTATAGAGTCAGAAATTTCTAGAGTATTTACTCAGGATTTGGTCTGGCGAAATAATAATCTAAATAAAGTTTTAAGAAATGAGATGTGCTTTGCAAGAAATTCACATAATCTTTGCTTGGATACCGAGTTAGTATACAACCTTCCTGCTTTCGTTTTGGGTTACGAAATTATTTCTTAGTGTCTTTTCCAAATTTTTAGAACTAAAAAAAATATATATACTTGGACATATGAATCAATGTTGTTCAGTTCGCTCAATAAATAAAATATATCTGAGTATTGTACTTCCTTTCATAAAGTCCGTGGTACAGACCACTCTTTATCAAGTTATTAACTAAAGCTTCGTGAATGGCTTCATATTATCGTAACGTATAACTTACTTTTTCTACGAAAATTCTTTGCTTTTGACCTTGATATCGGTAAAGTTTACCTATTTAATGAAGCATTCAAAAATCATGAATAATCATTATTCATACGATAAGTAAGATAATTTGATCACAGAAAATGTTGGACCGTCTGGCGTCTTCACCGTCAACAAGTCAAAATAACAAGATTGTACTGGCCAAACATCCGAATATTTATATAGGCCATATTTTTCCTTAATTTTGTGATAAAATTATCTTTTATATATTTATATATATATATATATATATATATATATATATATATATATATATATATATATATATACACATATATTTAAACTTAACTATTTGATTGGGAATAAGGTCATTTATTAATTATTTAATAAACTATTGGATGTTCATCTCTTCTACGTTTATTGACATTTCGAACCCGGTATTTTTTTTTTTTTTTTTTTAAGTCAACAATGGGATCCTCTTCAAAGCTAGAATTTTAAAAAATAGAGCTTCGATTACACACCGACAATCTCAGCACCGTTCACTAGCACATATATTAAGCTACTGTTGAGTACTGAGACTGTCGGTGTGTCCCTGGCCTGATCTAAGCTCAATTTTTTAAAATTCTAGCTTTGAAGAGGATCCCATGGTTGACTAATAAAAAGAAAATACCGGGATCGAAACGTCAATAAACATAGAAGAGATGAACATCCAATAGTTTATTAAATAATTAATAAGTGACCATATTCCCAATTAAATAATTAAGTTTAAATTTAGTACTCAAAGGTCGATTAAGGAAAAGTTGTATATATATATATATATATATATATTCAAAAAATCTATTTATCGGTTTATCTTTTTTTTAATACATCCCGGGTAATGAAAAAAAAATAAATTCAAGCTTTGCAATAATTTATTGTAGTATTTTTTGATGAAAACACGGGTATGTTAGGTGACAGGGTATAAAATCGCCATTTTTTTTTTTTTTAATATGAGGTAAATCTCCACCTGAGTTTATTTATATTAGTTTAGAAGATCCCTCGTCCATCTTTTTTACAGACGCCTTGGATGGTTGTCAGGAATCGTTTTTAATAACGTCAGGAATCGTTTTGAATGAAATGTTATGAAGAAGAGGGTTAGGATCGCCAAAGACTTCATTAATTAATAAATTTAAATAATAATTAATATAGGAATATCTGATTCAAGTTAAATCTGCAACAAAAGAAACATTGAAGTCTTAGTCCATTATTTTATTTGTGACATAATATGGAGTATTAAGGATTCTGCGGAGGATTGTAGATTGTATGATTTTGGACAGGAGATTAAATAATAAATATTTAAACATAATTCAAAAAAATTCGCAATCTTATTTGTAATTTTTCTTTAAAAAAAAAAAGTACTCTATTCATTTTATTATTCATTGTAAATTAATTAAATTTTAAGTAGGTAGGTGAATGATAATCAAGAGTGAATATCACGCTTTGTGTAGAACGTCCCGTGAATGGAATCGATTTGTTTTTATTTTTTTATAAGAATTCTCGTATGTTGTCTTTAGATATCGTCGGCTTTCATATTTAATTGTATTCTTTTATTTGAGTTCTCGCCTCTTCCACACCCAAGTTATTTCCGCGGAATATTCTACTTAAGAATTTAAATAGATAGGTCGGCTATGAGTTGAATATCTGAAGTGGAATATGTGTGTGTCATGTAATTTCGAAAACGTTATATTTGATCGAGGATTTGTTCACAAAGTCCCTTTAATAATCAAACATAAACATGAAAAGGAAAATAATGGACGGGACAATAGAAAGGTGTCCAAACTCATTTCGTCGTCGGACACGGTCCAGCAACTTCTTGTCGATGTGGTGACAACTTGTGGCAATTTAGGAACTATTTTGTAAACACAAACTACATTCGTCTGTTGGGAGGTCGTTAGTGTGTCCGACATATTTTCCATTTATTTTATTTTTTCCCTTTGATCCGATTAAATAATATAAAATATAATTATAAAACAGTTCAGGATTCCTAGGACCCCATGGATGTTTCCTTAACTATGTTAAAAATCGTTTAGATATTTTTTTAAATAACTTTATGGGATAGTTATTTTATTCTTTACCTTTGTAAATATAATTATTATTAATAAATAATATTATTATTAGTAAATTATTTATTAGTAAATAAAATAATTATTACAATAATATTAGAAATGATTTTGTGTATTTTCTATTTGATCAGAACTTTTAAGAAATAAAATCAAAAAACAAATCAGTAAATTAACAAAACTAACGTTAATAGAATCTCTCATCCACTCACATACCATAATAAATAAAGATAAAATAAAATATATGGTAGAATAATAGAAAAATAATAATTAAAAAACGGTGATCTTGAATATATATATATGCATATACTAAATTTTGCGGTAACTGTCAAGAAATCCGAATATCATTAGCCGAATATTAAAAGAAAAATTCCTAAAATTTTTATAAAAATAAAGTGAACATAAAATAAATAGGACTTAAAAACAGATTTTAAGAACGAATTAAGTACGAGACCTGGGATTATTGCTTAGTGCCATTTCGGTTCATTTTAACTATTTGTTGAAAATAATTAATATGAAGTAATTAACAATAATTAATTGAACATTTCCGTTGACAAAATGACTAACTTCAACTTCAAAATTAATTTTAGTGATATTTCTAGTGGAAAAATTTATACCTTTATTCTCAGTTCTATGTTTCACCACTGCTATTACCTACTATAGAATCAACTTACTGTCTGTACGGATGTTATAAATTTTCCAGCTAGAAATATCACTTAAATGACTTCGCCCAAAAATGTTGAAATTGGAGTTACTCGTTCTGTCAACCAAAATTCTTAATTATTGGAGTAATTGAAAAAAAACAACTGATGGTGATAAATATGATCGAAATTCAAAAACGCCTTCTTTTATGTTTAGCGCACCACATTTTTAATTTTTATCACGACTATTGTTTTTTAATTTTTTCATAACTATCAAAATCATTACCGTGCCAATACTTAATTTTAAATTTATAATTATTGGTTTCCTTCACTGACACGTGAGTATGCTAAACGAGGTATGTTAAATTAATTCAAGCTAGTATAGGAAACTCGTCGTTTATAGGAAACAACAACGAAAAAAAAGTCACAATTCAATTGTTTATTTTAACATCCTTCGGAAAATTACCCACACACACAAATTATATATATGTGATTTTATAAAATTGACTATTTTTTTTTTTTACTCTAGCCATGGACTTAATCGGTCA